GTAGTCTCCCTTCCCATGGCGAGGTGAATAATGAGGCAGACAGCCATGCTCTTGCACTGGAACATCTTTATTCAGCTACACATGGATCCAGGCCCACCACAGATACCTCCTATCTGCTCTCAGATCTGACCTTGCTGCTGTGCACAATCATTTTACACCAGGCAAAATCAACAGACCACTGATTAGCTCTAACTGAAGCGGGGACTGTGTCACCTCTACTCTGTCCCGTGCAGGTTCTTACACTGCTTTCTTTGCTGGAACAGGAAGGGCTAAAGAGGTGCTGTAACTCAAAAGCTGGTTTTGGTGTAAAAAGTGCTTTACTTGACTTTGGGGATGGGGAAAAAAAAAAACAAAACCCACACTTCAACCCAACAGATGCTGTTCCTCTGCCTTTTGCAAAACTCCCAAAGAGCAGGAAATTATATCTGGGTACCAGCATTTTGTGCTCTGGAAATCCTCTATAGTAACAAAGACAAGAAGAAAGCCCACATGAAAAAGACTGCTTTGGATCTGCTTTGCTTCCAGATCTGTTTTGGTTCTTTAACCATTTTCCAAATCTTGTTATCCTATCCCACCCAAGCTTACAGCAAGGCCACACAATGCACACTTCATATATTATGCAAAAATATAATAGGCATTCTTCAATATAGGGGATGTACACTGCAGAAATGTTTAATTTCCCACCATGATACGCATTTGTTACTCATATTATCTGAGTATGCCCCATGGACAACATGGAAAAGAATACCTTTCCAAAAGAGTATGCTTTGCTACATAAGAGGAAATGGTGAAGTCCGAGTTAAGGCAAAAGTAAATGCTGTTTATATAGTGTGATGATAAATAATATGCACATATTACTCAGATTTCATACTAGAAGACTGTTGTTTCTTGGGTTTAAAAGGACAGGGACAGCCAGAGGATATAGGTTTTGGCCCTACAGGACATGACACCAAGGTCTATGAATATCATGAATCTATTTTGAGATTCATTATTATCTCTCGACAATTAAAATTCCAGCTCTTCTAAGTCTGCCTATTAAACCACTTCACTTAGGCAAAGCTGGATTTATGTAGCATCAGCAACCAATGTCCATAGGGACAGTAGTCTTTGCACTTACAGCTTAATATTATGTGAGTTTTCCCCCTGAGTTGGACTCCCTTCAGGCCCTCAAGCCAAATAAAAGACCATCCTGGTTTAACACTGAGACCTTTGCAGGAGGCACACTCCCCCAATTAAGATGGGAGTTGGATGGGTAGTCCAGGCAAAATGTCTCCTGCACTTCAAAGCTTTGATTCTGCAGATGTCCAACTGATTGATGAACTTCAGGTTTGTTTGCTATTGGGTTGGGAGAACCATCCTTTGACCTGTGGATCAGGGGCTGGAGATATCCGTGGTCAGGGGAATCCTTTGGACTCCACATCAGTTGGATTTGAAGACCCATGTAGTCCTTCAAGCTTGAGGTCAAAAGAACTACCCATACATACAAAGTTCAGCACACTGTTGGAGCACCATGATCATCATATCTCAAATTATAAATAAAGAATGGTAAAAATGGTCAAAGTCCCCACCCCCAGTATGGCTTGAGCTTACCAGTGGGACCTACAAAGGAATCATATCAGTACCAGGTATTGACTCTGTGCATGGGAAGAGGGTGCTCTTCTCAATTTCACCCACATGGGAGTTACGGTTCTGGGAGGGAGCAGAGTTACTAGACTGGTCAGGGTGCCACTGGCTGGCTATCCATAAGCATGTTGTAAGACAGTGTCAGTCAAAGGCACAACAGTCAGCAAATCAAATACTGAAGGCAGCTATAATGAAAATTGTAACAGAGGCTTAGCTTTAATGAGATACTCAAGTCACATCAGGCACTGTGTTAATCATGCCCATAACAACTAAATTCTCCGAACTTCTTTGGGCCACCCTCCATCATCCACACCATGGCATTTCACTGTTGCTCATTCCAGGCGGAGCCAGCTCTCCCCAGAGGAGCGTATGCCTTCCACATTCACCCTACTACCTTCTCCCAAAAGGTACAAATGCGTGACCGGTTTGCAAAACTGTCTGAACAAGCGAAAATCAAGGGGGAAAAAGCCGACCCAAGAAGCTGTTGCCATGGCATTTTCTCAAGACAACCTCCCTCGTTTTCCGCATCTACACTGGAGCTAGAGAGTATACGTTTGGCCTGCACTCCTGCAAAACATTATGGTTCCACCAGCAAGGTGACAAGAGGCTTTACAACCTGTTTGCATCTTTCAGGCATGTTAACACTTCTATAAAGCAAGCGCACAACTCTCAGGCAACATGCTCATGGGCTGCCCTGGCCTCCAGCATGGTGAAAACCTAAACCATCTGCAAGCCTGAAAAGGAAACAGTGCAAAACTGCTGCCTTCTCACCTTGAAAGCACGCCTACGGCTACACATCCTTGCCATTATCTCTCACCTGATGAGGGTTTTGAAAGGATTCTTTGCTTTGGTATCTGAGCACTGAGTGTAACCACCACACTGTAGCCTGTTCTCAGCAGTGCCAATTTTGCCACCTTATCCTAAAATCAGTGAGCAGAGCAACGTAAGAGGCCAGCTGGACCTTCCAGGCCTGGCCATGGAACTGAAATAACAGGAAACAATCAGGGACTGTGTTTTTCCTGCCCTTCCTCCTTCTGTGAAAGCATCTTGGAAAGGCACGTGTTCTTCAGCAGATAATAAAACATACAAGAAAGTCCATCGTTGCTTACCGAACTCCACGCTAAACACATCCCATAGTGGGAGGACCAGAAACTGAACTGTGATTTTGCATTCATTTATGCCTCTGGAAAAAGAACATTTTGTGACTAGTGTCAAAACCTGGGGGGCAAGTCTATGGGGCAGCCTTGAGGATCTGCTCCTATAGAGGCAGGATAACAAGGGCTGTCGGCCAAAGGCATTCGAAACCGAAATGCAAGGCAGCTTAAACAACCCCACTTCTCTATTACAGCAGCGGGTCAAGGAGAAGAGCAACCAGAGCTAGATCCCATTCCCAGAAGGGGCTGTCTTACTGTCCTTGACATCCCATGCTTAACTCAGCTCTCAACAACAGGTCCCTAGGCACCAATACCATACAGTAAATAAATCCCCAACATCTTTAGGATCACATCTGGAAAAACACCCTTGCCAACTGCATGAGCATGGGAAGAACATCTGGCAAAGAAAAATTGTCCAAAAAATCAACTTAAAACACAGGGACTAGAAAGAACTTGAATCAGTAAAGTAAAAGCAAGTACCAATTATCACCTGAGCTTTTACCCAAGATCCTGAGGGACCATTATCTCTGTCCTTCTAAAGTTGCTATTCTGACAGTGTTTCCTGTACAATGACTACATCGCTACCTTTAAGGAGCTGGCTGAACCTGAGATCCCGATGAAAGGCTGTTGACTCACTGCAGAATGACACTCTTCTGTGAGCTTGTGACATGAAGGTAAACAGCAATGTAGAGGCACTGGAAATCAAAGGAGCCCAGGCTGCTGGATGCAACACTGCATTTAGAAGCACATAACCTCTCCAAGACAAGACAAAAAGTCCTTTCCTCTCCCTTTTCCACAATGCTGGTAGAAGCAGTATGCAAACAAAAAGACCTGTTAAGTGGATCTGGGAGGGTTTTCTCTGGTCATACCACCACCATGGGATATGGAGTAAAAGGTAGGTAGGAACTTCTATTTCTACGTGCTGTGCATTGTCAGCTACTTTACTGGGCCTTCAATAACATCATAATCACTGCAATGTTGCAAGCAGGCAGTCCAGAGATCATTGTGGTATCTTTTTCTTCATAATCACACAGATATATTCACAGGCATTGCATCAACTACCACCCAGCACAGCAACACAACAGTTTAATTTAGCAACCCCTCCACTGTTGCTCCTGGTCACTCTCAAGTATTCAAACCCATTTTACAGTGAACAGATTAATTTAGCCATTGCTTTTCCAAAAAGTACCCTAGAAATCTTTCAGGTTCACATACTGGCTTCATCTGAGTATCACAGTTCTTGTCCCACCACCACCGCAGTGGTGACTGAACCATAGGGATCACATCCCCACAACAGGCTGTGTAGCTATCAGTTTCCAGAGGTGAAACTACCTTTTCCTCTTCTCTTCACGTTTTCTCATTCGTGCTACAGCAGTGGTCACGAGGCTTGACCCAGTCCCAAACAGTCGGGAAGAGGAGCGGCCAGCCCCTGCCTTGTCCATCACAGTGCTAGAGGGAGAGCCAAGCTGCCACAGCAGATCTGGTGCTCTGCAGAAACGACTCAGACAGGATAGGATTACATATTCTGCTACTCTCCCATCTGTGCGATGGGGCCTCTACATGAAGAAAGCCAAGTCAGCAGCTACCTTGCAGCACGTAGAGATGGATACAATTCTCCAAGTAAAACACGGCACTGGACAGGAAACTTGATGCGTTTCACACCAGAAGAGGACAGAAGAAAATACACCCACTTTTACAGCAGCAATCACAAACTCCATAGGGAAGAGAAAGGCCAGGTACTGATGGCAGAAAGAGAACAGTGCTGTTGTAAAACCCTTACAAGGCAAGGAGAGACTCCCTTGTACACTATAGGAAGAGGAAAGGCTTAAGTACGGACACTTTCCCCATGCAGAAGTGTCGCTGAGACCCGAGTTGTGTGTAACACAGAGCAATAACAGAGGTAGAGTCATAACAAACAGACATATGCTAACTGCTATAGTATATATTGTATTTGCTCATGTAACAGCCACACACGCTTTTTGGCCTCATCGCTCAACCAGTTGCAAACAAGAGATCACCCGTTAGATAAATTGTAGCTTAAGAATAGACACACAAAATCACTGCACCCTAAATTTGTAGGGAAAATCACAGGGGCAGGGAATTATGTGCACTCCATGAGCAATACAGTATTTCACTGTGGAGGAAGGGTTAGGACTGGCACCTGGCTTTATCAGCGCACTCATTTACCAAATCCAACTGTCCCAGAAAGCAGCCAGTTGCCCTTTAACTGTGTTCGTGAAGTAAAAATTGTTTAATGGGGTCTGGGATTGGAAGGATATGGATCAGATCCAGACGAGATTTGCCAAGTATTCTTCGTACAGCTATGCGGCAGAGAGACAAGAGGCTCCGGGTGCGGCCTGCAATAAAGAAAGCAGAGAAAAACTATTGAGGGACAGAGAGAGGAAGAGAGAGGGATAACAGCGTGTAAATTGTGCTGAGGTCTGGCTGACAGCTGAGGAGCCATTTACCCCTTCCTAACGCCGAGGCTACGTCCTGCACAGCAACACGAAGGCAGCGCAGGAGAGCTGAGCATGCACAAATCCTCCCTGTGAGGAGGCCAAACCTTTTGGCCAAAGACTTGGAGCAACGACAGCTGCCACATGGGCAGTTTGGAAGGGCAAGCTGGAGACCGCATAGGGTTGTGACCATGGAGCCGGTCCCTGCATGAGAGTTCAAGAGATCATGGCTGAACACACACCAGGGGAGGTTGTGAGCAGCTTTGTACTAATCAGATCATTCTAAAATTATGTGGACTTTATTTTTGCTCTAAACCACCCCCTGGGAATCAACAGCATTGACAGCCAACTCAGGCTTTATCCCAACTTTCTTTTGAGGGCTTCGAGTTCATGGAGAGCTCTTCCAGCACAGGGACAAGATGATGGTGGTGTCTATGTTGATTCAGGAACTGGACCTCCAAGGCACCACTCCATTATCCTGCATGCTCTACCTGAGGAGTCCCATTTGCCTCCTAAACCCAGGCTTAACGGAAACCACCTGCTCCAGCTTATGTGCGCCTCTTCTCAGCAAAAGTCCAGGCAGGTTTAAAAACCAGGCACGTGCAAAGCTGAATAACTTTGGGGTGGGGGCTGGGGGTTGTATCCCACATCCTGAATCCCTTTCAAATTTCTCTGGAGTTCAAGAGGGAAACACCACTTCCGACCCTGGTGCAAAGCCCTGGCCTTCACCAGCTGAGCCTGGTGGTTTTACGAGGTGCTGCCCTTGCTGAAACAAGGGTGCGCACTACATTGATGTTGCTTTCTTATAAGAAGAAAGAAATAGCAGGTAAATTTAGGCACGTTCAGGTCTGAGGCTCTGGTTTACTTCTTTTGTAACTCATTTGCTTCCCAGAGGATGTTAAATTCAAAAAGCCAGGTTTTTCCCACCTTCTTCCACCACCATCTGAGCTCCCTCCTGACACTTGGTACTACCATTTGCGACTTTACTTCCCAAGTAGCCTGTCCAGATACAACTACCTCTTGGGTCCCTCCCTGGACCCCCCTGCAGAGCACAGGGTCACTCAAGAACAGTGAGGGCACATCTGCATGGCTTTGGAGAACTGGGTCTCACTGGATATGCCATAACCTGCCTGTGGTTTGCAGACCCAAAGCCCAGCTCTGATAGGACCTCACTGACTAAACCTTGCCTCAGGCTGCTGAGGACATGGTTAGGCAATGGAAAAGAACTGGGAGAAAGATAAAAAAGGTAAAGTTACCAACAGAGGTTGGGCTGCTGTGATAGGCATCATTGGTAGTTGAAGGACTCCAGAGGGAAAACACCACGTGAATGTACAAAATGCAACAGGAGAAAAACAGGGAGTCTAGCTGGAGGCTTATGGGGAAGCCATTGGGTTGAGTCATCAGTGTTGACAGAGCCGGAGGCAACACTGAGGATCCGTGCCAGGGAGCCGCAGAGGCCAGCCCCACAGTCCTCCTGCCTGATGCCTGCGTGGCCAGCAACAGCTCTTTGGGAGCCATATCAGGGGTGGTGAAGTCATTAACGCTCAGCTTAACAGCTTGTTAAATCCCAGTTATCTTTTTTGTGTGTTAGAATTGCTTTACACTTTTAAGTTAGCTATAACCTGTTTACAGGATCTTTTTGCACTTGGCCGAAGGCACTTGAACAGACAGACCCAAAAGAGGATGGTAACACCCACCCTACCAGCTTAACAGCTCCTAACTACCAAATAAACTCTCTAAAGAGTTGTCCTGAATCCAGATCTCAGTAAAACCGGTGCCACTTCAGTAAGTCAAAGCTGCTTACCCCTTGCTTCTTTGAACACCTGCAGAGCCTCAGGGTTGACTTTGACCCTTCCCGTGGATTCAACTCCCAAGGCCTCCACTTTCACCAGGTTCAGATCGGCTCCAAAGTCAATCAAGAGGTGGACGAATGCTGCTTCACAGCCATGCCGCAGGACAGCGTCCATCACACACACCGGGGAGCCCCGGGAGAAGCCTTGGATGTTGATGGGCCCGCAGCAGTTAAAATCCGGGTTGGCTCCTGCCTGGAGCAGCAGCCGGAAGCACTGGAGGTTGTGGTAGGCAGCGCTGATGTACAGCGGGCAGACCACCAGCGTGGTGAGGGGCCGCAGGGAGAGGCTGGGGACCCGGGAAGGGAGGTGGTGATTCACGTCCACGTCTGCGCCGTACCTGGGTGGGGAAGAGAGAAGAGCAGAGGTTTTGAAACAAGGGCAACAGCACCACAACTGCACCCTAAGGTGACAAAATGGCAGGGGATGAGGCTGAAGGACACGCGGAGGGTGAGCACCCTGCCTGTCTTTGGTACTTCTGGGGCCCACCACCCAAGAACTGCCCATACCTACCCTGAAAGGGGCCTGGCAGGGCTTCTGAGCAAGGATGCTGTATCCAGCACGATCTGATCTTCAAGAAGCAAAGCTGTTTCTCTGCCTGCAACAGCCCAGGCTCGGGAGAGAGACGCTGAGGAGCATCTTTCCTGGCCCTCCTGAAGGATGTGCCTAGCACGGCCTTGGCACAAAGGACGGCTCAGCCCTGAGCCAGCACCACATAATGTTGGATGTTAATGAGCCGGCTGGGGAGCAGGGATTTTTCCAAATGACTCAGTTGAAGATATGCAGCGAAATAACTTCCCCACCAGGATAAAACAGGCCAAAAGCAATACAGGCAATCGATCTGACTGTCGCAGACAGCAGGGAAATGGAAACAGAAATCTGTGCTCAACAGCGAAACATGTATGACAAAATCCTGCTCCCAAAGGAGCTGGGGTGGTTGAAATCCCATCAGAAATCCCATCAGGGAGTCAAAAAGGGGCCTTTTCCCTAGTATTCAGCTCAGCTGAAGGGATGTACCCGCCAACTCTCAGCACGTAGGAAACTGGAAAAACAAAATAATTGCGTCAGACCTTCCGCTCTCCCCATCCATCCTGCACAGCTCCATTCACAGGTTATATTTTATACTAGATACCGCACAAGAGATTACAGTTCACTGGCCAGCACTCCAGGCCCTGAAGGGGAGACCTCAACGAGCTGCCGCAGCAAACCTCTCAAGCCTTTTGCAACTGGCTCCTGCCTCACTCTACCCCACAGAGAAACCCGTACCTCACATCTTCGCTGCATGGTGCCATGGTGTCCCAACCGCCCCACAAGCCCTGCGGCCAGAGCAAGGCGGGCTCGGGCTTGCTGTGGCCTAGAGAAGGCACGCACGCAGGTAAAGCCCTGCTCAATGGACATCAGCATCATCATCAAACAGAAGCAGCGCCCGCAGCATACTTCTTTTTGGGAAGTAGAGATGGCACTAAGTTGTGAACAAGCAGAAAACAAGGCTTATTGGCTTTGGTTCTTTTCATTTTTTTTGAGGAAGTGAAGAATGCGGCCAAATAAATGGGAGCAAAAAGGCCAACTGTCGTTCTCTGGAAAAGCATGGAATTTGAAAAATGGCAATGCTGCGGAAAGAAGAGACGGTAGAAATAAGCACTTATTTCCCCCAGGCTGGGTAACACCCAAGCAGTGGGGACACTAACTCCATCTACTTCACATGCAGCTTGGATGGGAACAAGGAAGAAGACAACGCAATCCCCTAAGGAGTAGCTGGTTTTAATTGCAGCATTGCAGATCAAGCAAAGCCTTGTCCCTTCTCCCCACAGAGGGATAAAAGGTTTCTTCACCCGCCAGTCCCCCTCCCAAAATTGCAGACTAAGCATTCAGAGAACTAGATTTTTCTTCCTTTTTATCTTCCTAGATAGCGTTATATTCCTTTCTGCAGTTAATAAAACAAATAAGGAAACCACCTGGGGACAAATTCTGCCTCAAGGCAAGCACAGCTCTTGCTGAACCCAGTAGGGGCTGGTCCCTATCCAGCAAATACTTAACCAAATGCTTCAATTCTGAAGATGGGAATAGCCTCATTTAAACTAAGCACACTGTCATGATTTAACCCCAGCTGGCAAC